CCTGCTTCTCCCTCTCCCTCTGCCTGCCGCTCCCCCTGCTTGTACTCTCTCTAATAAAAAATAAAAAATCTTAAAAAAAAAGAATAATGTTATCCAGTCCAAAGAAGGGAACCCTAGTAAGTTTTGTTTTTGCTTCAAATTTTACTTTTTACTTGCCAAGAAATGCAAAATGCACAAATACTGTAATTACATTCTGTTTTCATCATTTACCTGGAAAGTTCTGTGACAGACTTAGGACATGTTTTTCTAAACTTCTTAGTGAGAGAGCCAATCATAAGAGCAATCTAAATGTATATATTTTCATGAACAAAAGACAAGGTATTGGCTGACCTGGATTTTAAAACATGATTGTGAAAGACTTTGCATGTTCACTTTTCACCCTCCACATTCTAACCCTTGAACATATTTTCCAAAGGGAGCTTCAGAGAGTAACTTTTCATTCCTCCTCACCTCCCTGGTCAAATGTTACTTTCCATTTTGCAATGGTAAAGACAGATCAAGGAAAAGACAGTCATAAATGACTTTTTCATTTCTGTAGCCTTTGATGATGCCACAGAACCTTTACATTAATTTGGGTTATCAATCTTAGATCTCTGTAAAACTGCAACCCAGAGTTTCAGATAAATGCTGCCTTTACAGTAGTATCTTTTGTGCAAAACAAAATGAAAGAAGAACTCCTGTAAGAAACTGAAACATGATCAGTCTTGATGATCTGTGCTGGGGGAGGGAAATAGTGGTTCAAAAGCTCAGAGTCGTCGCTATGGCTCCAGGATGTGTAACTGTAGGAATCTTTGAGAGGCGTTTGTCTGGTGTGTTGGGAAGCGTTGGTACCTCAGAATAGCAAATGAAGCACTGCTTATGGATTCCTGACTGAGGACTAGCCTGGGAGTTGCCTGGATTCCTTAAACTGATCTCTCGTTCTTTCTGAAACCTCCATGCCCATGTTGGGGATGGACGGCACCACTGTCCACCTAGCTGCAAAGCATCTGTCTTAACTGAGCTAGCTAAGTCTGTTTGCTTTCCCTGAGATAGCTTTTGCTTCCCTTACGAGTAGCAGCAGTAGTTTCTTTGGATTAGCTATTCTCTTCCAACTTTCTGTGGGCTATAAAGAGATAGTTAAAGTACTGATAAAGGATGTAAAAGAAGAAAGCAGGTAGCCAAAACTGACAAGTGATTAAGAGGTAATCACTTAGAGGTAATGTTCTATAGAGAGAAAAGGACATTTTAGAACTGGAAAGGACCTTCAACTGGTCCAAGAAACTAAGGACCAAGGAGACTCCATCAGTGCCTACGACAATCTCAGTATTTGAGACTAAAAAAAAAAAGATCCGTAATGTATTCACCAGCTCTGAGACTTAGTTCAGTGGGCTGGAAAATAATGCTAAGGAAAACACGCTCCTAGGCTTGTGCTCTAAGCAGGCTGGTTCTATAGAACTTTGCTCAGTTTGTAAATCACAGACTATATACGGAGTGTGAGTGCACACCATCATCCTTGCAGGAGGCTCATTTATGCAGATAGACTTTGGTATTATGTGAGAATGTGGGACTGGATTAGTGTAACTCCATCTCCCGGAAAGACCATCCCTATGTCCTAGTGCCCTAAGATCTGTAAACAGAACTACTTTTTCAATTGTTATGTTGTACCAAGGACAGTGTTTTGGCATTTCAAGCCCCTTTAAAGTATATTTAAAGCCCAAATATAAGACTGTAGAAAAACTAGTTCATAAAAATAGAAGTATGAAGACAGCTGGGTCTAGAACAAGGGTAGACTAGGAAAGAAACTGGGTCCCTCCTGAGTATGTAAGAGTATAGGGAACTGGGAGAGTATTATGTAATGGAAGTGAAATAAGAAGAAGCAAATGAACTCTAAAGAGCTTGCAGTCTGATGTTTGTTGATGAATGTTGCTAAGTAAAAACAATACTACTGTGGAGCCTTAAGTTTGAGGATTTCAATCTTTAACAGGTTGACCTGTTATTCTAACTGGCCCTTTTGGACCCATATAATACTATGATAATGTATATCCATTAAAAAGAACTGTGGGGACTATAAAAATTGCATTTCTTTCGGGTTGCCAAATGAGGACTACAGTTCCATTCAGTCCTGTTTGCTGGTAAGGGTATTTCCCTGTATTCCATTCTTCAAGAAATGGCAGTTTAGTCTGACTGGCTAATGGAAAATAGCCTGCCACTTTTACACTGAGCCACACTGCTGATGGGTGAGTCCCAGGAAAGCAGAGAAGTGGCTGAATCATAGTGTCCCAATTCTACTGTGCTGGGCAAGAGGAAATTGACCATATTTTATAAATGCATTCCCATAGACCTCCCCGAGGAAGGAAATCACAGGACAACCAGGTCTCAGTAACTACTCATTTCTTTTCACCATTGCGTTTAGCACTTACCTCTAATGGTTTTACATTCAGTCGTCCCACCTCATCCAATGAGATGCGTCTTTCTCGCTTTTGCTTTCCTGCATCAGGTGTGCCCATTGAGTGACTCCTCCCACTCACTGACACTCTTCTCAGTTCCTTGATGCTGCATCCGGTTCTAGTTAAACACTCCAACTGCAGTTTCTCAAGAGGTTGTGTTTTTATAGAAATGACTCCTAGGTGATCTGCCACTATGTCTGGATCGATATTGATTGGTTGTTTCCCACGGTGAGGAATTATTTTAATTGGAAGTTCCTCTTCACTTAAATCTTGACCTAATTCTTTTTGCTCTAGCTCAGGCCCTCTTTTAACAGCATGCTCATGCACCTTTTCAACAATTCGACTAAGATCCAAATCGCCAAAGAGATCAGCCTGTGAATCTTTTGGGCTAAGTGTTTCTAATGGACAATTGGAAATTTTACTGATGAGTAAAGAAGCTACCTCTTTAGGGAAGACATTGTTTGTACCTTTCATGTCATAATAAAGTTCTTCATGAGTTCCAGATTGTTGTAGTACCTGATTATAAACAGAATCAACGATCTGAGAAATAATTTCTGTACTTTCTGGACTTAAAAATGTTTCTTCAGGTTTATCAGCTACAACACTAATGTTATTTCTGGAAATTTCAGCTGTCACAGATTTTGTCAATTGACATGCAATTTTATTTACCTCAGACTTTGATAAGTTTTTCACATCTCTGCTTGAGGCACTTGGCAACTTTACTAGTTTAGCCAAGAACAAGGCCAGCATTTCCTCTAAAAATCTAGCATCTAACACAGTCTCTTTTTTGGTTGAAGGCTTTTTCTCTGACTTAAGGTCATCAGTGATCTTAACCACTTTTTCCATAATTTTGACAGCTTCCAGAACTAACTCTGAACTTGATGCCTCTTCTTCTACTTGAGGATGAAGTTCTGAATTGGAAATTTCCTTCACCATTAAAAATCCTATTATATCAGAAAGGACATTGCTCTTACCCATTAAATCTTTATACAATGAAATATGGGAGCCAGAGCGCCTTAAAACACTGTTATAAACAGAAGTAACTACTTTTTCGATAGTTGTACTGTCTGCGAAAGATACCGTGGGTGATTCTTTGGCCTGTGGCACTACTATAATTCGACTTTTAGAGAGATATTCTTGGAATGAATTTAGGATTTTTGAGATTATTGTTTGCATTTCAGCGTTTAGAGAATTGTTTTGTTTCTTATCCACTTTTGGAAACATAGATAAAAGCTTTGACAAAAAATTTACAGCAATTTCTTCTATTATGTAAAAAGGCAGTTTGTAAGCCCGTGATGGCTGAGGCTGGGGAACTTCAGTGGTTTGGATGACATCTTTAAGGATACTTTCAATAACATTGTCAACTTCTGTACACTGATGTGACGTTAGCTCTCCAGAAAAATAGTTCTGCAACTGGTTGCCAGCCACTTCCTGTACAACTAAATTAACTATGGTTTCTGAAAGGATTTTGCAACCACTGCTGACACAATTTTGTATGCGCTCTTGAGATCCAAATTGTGGCAAGAGATTATTATAAATAGTCTGAGCCACTAATTGAATAATTTCATCATCATTAGGATGTAAGGATTTTACATACTGTACAATCATGTCTTTATCTTTGGAGATCTCTGTCATAATTGTACTTACTAACTTCATTTGAAGGAAATCCAGTTCTGTGTGCAAATTATCTTCGGATATTTCTGTTTTAGCATTGGTTACTGTTGAGAAAATTTTTGATAAAAGAAAAGAAATTACACTTTCTAAAAATTCATAAGGTAGCATTATGGTATATGGCGATGATGTTTGACATTCTTTGCAGGCTGTTTGGACTACCTTATGGACCTTTTTCATAACCTCCTTAGATTCTAGAGGCAAACGTGCTACAGCCGGAACTTCATCATAAAGTAGCAAGTTTAGCTGATGCTGAAAAATTTCTTCTATCACTGCATTAGCTAGCTTTCTTGCTAAATTTTCACCATTACTATTTATGTCTTTATAAATGGAGTCTTGAGATCTATATTCCTGCAAAATACTGCATATAGAGGAGTGGACAATCTTGTTGACCAACATTTTATCGCTTGATGGTATGTTAGCCATAGAAGGTGCCTCATCTAAAGAATCTATCTTAGTTGCAGCTGCCGTTTTTTTCTCTCGAGGTGCTTTATTCACAGATGGTTCTTTTTGCCTGAGAGGTACATTGTGAACTGATGAAACTTTATCTGTAGATGGGAGGAACTGACTTCCCTGACCTAGGTTCAGTACTTTAATTTGAGCATCTGAAAACTCCTTTAACAGGGAATCAATCAGTTTCATAGCTGTGTCATAGAGCTCAGTCGGATTTACATTTTTGGTTACATTTTGACATGCATCATCTGTACCCAGTGAGGAATCAAAAACCAATTTGTTTAGTATTTCAGAGAGAACATCTTCTAAAAAGTTAGCAGGAAAAATCCCATGGTTATTTTCTGGTGGATTGTCTGGTTTACTAGATTTACTTTTAATCTCTTTATCTTTACTTTTTTTATTCTCTTCCTCTTTTGCAGGAGCATTGTGTTTAGCTGGATTTGTTGAGTCAGGCTGGGCAAAACCCTTGCCATCTGCTTGAGTTACATATACCGCTTTATCACCTAGGGGATTTGGGGATTTTGAATCATCTACTGGTTCTTGGAAAGGAGACAATTCTAAAACATTTCTGTAAATGCTTTCAGTGAAATTTTGGACACGTTTAAGACGCAAGGTCTTTTTGTCATCTGTAACTCCATAAGCTGGAGAATCTCTCCTCTTCTCTTGGATCTTTCTATTTCTCACTTTGGATTTCAGAGATGGTAATTCAGAAGGTCTATTGTCTTTTTCTAATGAACTCCCTCTTTTCTTGTCACTTTTCTTTTTATCTATTTTTAGATCTGGTTCCAGGACAACCTTTTTGTTTTTTGTATCATCAGTAGCTGATGAAAGATGTTGGTATACCTCATCACCTTGCCCTTTTTCCTCTTTTATACCCAAAGTGTCTTTCTTCTTGCTTTCATTCTTTTTAGGTGCCATACTCAAATCTGGTCCCCGAGTATCTTCACTTTCCACAGTAGTTGTTGGAAAAGTAACTTTTGATGCCTTCTCATTCTCTTTTCCAATTGACCTTTCCTTTTTCTTTTCATCCCCTTTCTTTTTATCTGCCACACCTCCAACTAAACCTGATGCTAGGGTAGTTAATTCGCCCTTCACAATGCTAGTTAGAGCAGTACATATCGGCTCCTGGATGCTGCCTGTCTTCATAAATGTCTTCTCCTTTTTGAAATTCTCTTTTCCATGAAGTGCTCCTCTACCTATTTCCAAAGTGTCCGTTATGTCTTTCAGGCCTGAGGTTAGAGGAGTAAGTGTAGGTAATTGTTCTGGTGAAGAGACTGGGTTCTCCTTCAAGCTTTTATTTATTTTTGTAAAGGTATTATATGGTAGGTGTTGAACTCTTTGGATGATGTTATCCACATTTAGAAATGAAAAGAAGGTGGAAGACCAGTCTCCTGAAAAAAGTGGTTGAATCTTGAAAGCAGAGATTGCCTTTTTGGCTAAAGCAGCTATCATCTCTATAACAATGTTACTTCTATCATCTTTCTGAACATTGTTAGATCCATACATTTCTATGACCTCATCATACACAGAATCAGATATGTTATTGACTGTCTCTTTATCTATTGGTGGAAAAGAAAACCTTTCTCCAGAATTTGCTAGGACTTTAATTTTACTTTTCCTAAATTCTCCTACCAGGGCATTTGCAAATTTTATAGCCATGCCCATGGGGTCTTTTTCTGATATCTCTTTGTTCTTAGGGTTTTCAGCAATACTTGGGAGAGTATAAAATTTGCGAACAAGGTCAATTATGACATCTTCCAAAAATGTAGCAGAATACACAGAAGCCTGTGGGAAGCCTGTGAGTATTTTTTCTTTATCAGGATTCAAGAGTTCAATGATATGGTCATTTTTGGGTAAGTCACAGGGAGGTGATTCTTCATCATGTAAAAATGGCTGCAGATGGTGGTCCACAATTTCTTTCATAATGAAACCAGCTATTTTCCTGAGGAACAAGCCTCCCTTTTTGTATGTATCACTCTTTGTTTCATTTTCTAATTTAAGTTTTTTCATAATACCATTACATATGGAGTTAACAAAGTTCTCACTTGCCTCTAATTGCATACTTTCCATGTGCTCCCCTGCTGTGGCAAGTCTAATTTCATGTTCAGAAATTTCTGTTATAATTTCATCTGTCAGTTTTGAAGCTGCATTCACAAACTCATAATCTGGTGGCACCTCTTTCTCATTGAGTTCAGTTTCAGTCTCAGATGAAGGGAATATATGTGCTAGAAGCTTATAAGTAATATCTTCTAAAAGGGAACGTGGCAATACAGTGATGCATGACGGCAAGACATGGCTATCATCGTTGATGCTGTCAAGCACATTTCTGATGATGTTTTCATCTTGGAGGGAGGAATAGGAAGAAGTTGATAATTCTCCCAAAACTAATGACTCCACTTGATAATCATAAATTTCTCCTAATAGCAAATAACATATTTTTTGCCCAAAACTGACAGCATCACTTTGTATAGCTCTATAAATATGAATCAGAGATTTATAATCATCTAATAGTTTTTCATAAATTAGGCTGACAGTTTTTTTGACTATTTCTTTATATCCTTCTGAAAAATACAGATTTTCATCCAAGTGATCTGCAACTAAAATTTCTGATGTGGTGAATTCCAGCACAATTGATTTTACTAATGTTGTAACAATGTTAGTTACATTGGTTTTTGCTTTACATGGGTTTTCAGCAGCCAAGACATTATGTGAGAATACATAAAGGATTCTGCATAAAAGATCAGAAATTACATCCTCTAAAAAGACAGCTGAATTCACAATAAACAACAATTCTCTTTGTTGAGGATCTGTTGCTCTCTGTTGATAAGTTTGACCCACTGTACCTGAAGGAAGAGTTTTATCTGCAGATAAAAATGACTCAAGATGATGGTTAAATATTTCTTTTATTATATAACTTGCTATTTTCGTAATAGGTATATTACTTATGCCTTTTTTATCTTTTGAAAGAGACTGGTATAGATTTGAGTGAGAAATATCAGCATAAATGGCATCAACCATAGCCTGGATATCTTTCTCTGAAATCACATTTTGTTTTTCATTTCCATGTTTAATAATGCATATTGCATGTTTAGAAATTATTGACATGATCTCATCAATCAGCCTCACAACTGTGTTGTGGAAGTCTGACTGCAAAATGTCTGGGTCTTCTGCACTGCAGTTCAATGGATTTATCTGAGATAAAACCTGAGTGACGATTTTTTCCAAATGTGTATGTGATAATATGGTGGTATATGGTGTATAAGTCTGTCTCTGGAGTCTTGATTTACTAATAGCATAATGAACTCTCTTTATCAAAGCATCAGCATGGAGTCTTGAATATGATTTAAAAGGCAGCTTTGCTATGAAATCTGGATGAATTTGGAAATCAAAAACTTCAGCCAGGATAATTTTAGTTACCCTTTCAGCCAATGTTTTTGTATCATTGAGAAAGTCTTTACCAGGTTCCAGTTCATATTCTTGTAAAACTTTGCTATATACCGTGTCAATAATTTCGATCACTACTTCTGTATGCACTGGTGGCAAACATAATTGTTCCTTAGCATTTTCTAGGATGCTAACTTGAGCTTTTGAGAATTCTTCCGTTATCAAATATATGAGTTTTTCAGCTGTTTCCAACAGTTCTTTTCCTGAATCTCTTAATGAGTTTGTTTGCACAATACCTAACACCCTGTGGAATATTTTGCTTAAAACCCCAGATATTACATCTTCCAAAAAGGCTGAGGAGTAAACACCGGCAAAAAAATGCTGCCTTCTCACATCATCAAAGTATGTATATGATGGAGGAAGTAATGACTTTCCATACACAAATGGATGGAGATGCTGTTGACAGATATTTTTAATGATAAAACCTGCTATTCTATCAATAAGAACATTGTTACTGCTTGTAATATTGTGCTCAACTGCTTCTTGAGACCCAGAGTTTTGCAACATATTTCTAAATACAGAATCAACGAGATGCTGAACATCATCCTCTGAATAAATAGATTTGGTTTCTTCTTCATCTTTTGAAAATTGAATTTCATGTTGGGAAATTTTCATCCTAATATCACTGATTAGCTTTGAAGAGATTTCATCACAATTAATTCCTGATCTACCTTTTGGAGTTTTGCTGTATGGAACCATGTTATATGTAGAAGGAAAGATTCTAGATAACAGCACTCTAATTATGTCTTCTAAAAGTGTGTATGGCAGCAAGGTGTTATATGGAGATAAATGCTGGCTTGGTTTGGTAGATTCACTGCTGCTGCTAAAGATGTTCTGAATAATGTTCTCTGCTGTTAAAGTAGCATAGGAGGAAGACGACAAGTCCCCAGAAAACAGTGGGTGAAAAAGATAATCAGAAATAGCGGCTACAATTAAATTGGTAACATTTTCTGCAAAAATATCACTGTCTTTGAGTTCTTCATTATCAACCTCAGTGGTTAGTCCATGCTGTTGCAGAACATTCTCATAAACTGAACTGACGAGTTCATCCACAGTGTCTAGATCTACAGTGGGGAAAGACTGCTCTTGGTCATCACGAAGAATGCAGATTTTAGCTTTGTTAAAATGGTTATTTATTGAGTTTACTATTTTTTGGGTCATTTTATCCAGTTCACATTCAGTGTTATATATTGGATTGAAGATCTTTGATAATAGCCGGGCAACAATATCTTCTACAAATGCATTAGGATAAAAGTCCATACCTAGTGATGATGGCTTCTGGGGTCTATGTGACCCTGTGACCTCACTGAGAACCTCTTTAACCATATCTGATATTTCATCTAGTGAAGTCATTGAACATGGTAAGCCCTCTCCACACAAAAAGGGTTGAAGATGATTTTCAATAATCTCTTGAATAATGAGACTGGCCATTTGGTCAATCATAATTGGGCTTTGGCTTACTATACTTTTCTGGACTGACACAAGAGAGTCAGACATCTCTAAAACATTATTATAAACAGACTCCACCATATTTTGAAGGCTTTTTTCTGTATATAGATGTTGACAATCATATTTAGTGAGCCAAATCTTATGCTTTGAAATGGCTGACAAAATCTTATTTATTATACAGGTGGATACCTCATTAAAATCTGAAGTCAATAAATACTTCTTTCCCAAGCACGAAGGCTTACAGGGTGGAGAAATGAGCTGAGATAATAACTTCCTGATGACATCTTCTAAAAATGAGTGTGATAACATGGTAGTATAGCCCGTTGAATGTTGACCTTGGTAATTAAGTTCTCTCAGGTTGTTTTGAAGTTTCTGCAGTATATTTTCAGCTTTAAGAGGGTAATATGAATTAGGCATGAGCTTTCCTACAAAGCACAGTGGGAGTTGGTAGTCTGCACTCTCTCTCAATATGCCATTAGTTATCTGTTCTGCTATTGAGGTGGTAGCATGTGTCAGATGACTGCCACCAGTAACTTGTAATGCATATTCCCATGAAACAGCACTATTAACTGAGTCAACAATCTTTCTAACAGTTTCTTTATCAATTGGTGGAAAACATACCCTTTCTTCAACATCTCGTAAAACAGTGACTCGAGCATTGTTAAACTCATTCACCACAGAGTTGACATCTAATATATTTATCTTATTGAGCTGAGCTTCAGTGATGTTTACATTTTTGCCCTGCAAAGAGGTGGAGAGATTAAGGAAAATGTCTGCAATTACTTCCTCCAGAAATGTGGCAGAGTAAACTCCTGTGTTCATGCCTCCTGGATATTGCATGTTAAGAATAGCTGTTGCATTCTCTTCCTTTTTACCTGGTCTTCGAAGAGGAGGTAGAGGAGGGAATTTTCCTGAAAACTGCTTACCAAATGGGGCTTGTATTTTGGAATGAGTCACAGTGAGATTATTCAGTGGTTCTCTCAAAGGCTTGCTGTCATAATTCATGAATCTTGCAGAGCATTTACCCTGTCTTGATTCTCTTAATTTTGGCCTTTCTCTTTTTGGGAAACCAGGGAGTCTTTGTCTTCTTCTATACATTAAATGCTTGTTTGCAAAAAGTGGACTTTTGGGAGGTCGGTTTATACCACAGGACAGTTTTTCCATTAAGGATTTTACCAAGGTATGGGAAGTAATACTAAGCATAGATTCTTGATCTATTTCTGCCAGATTTTCCAAAAGGGCTGACGTGTTATATTCTTCAAATGGTGAGCCACGGTCCATTGTTCCCCTGCAATAATTCTCTATGTTTTGAAGTATGTTGGGCAGTTGACCTTCTGCTGGTATTTCACCAGAAACAGCACCATCTGTAAGGAGGTTGTTGGCTGTACATTCTTCCAAAAGTGTTTTAATAAATTTCTCACATACAATGTTCAGAAGAAAAACTGATTTTGGGGAGAGCCCTGGGTTATTTCTAGGTATTCTATGACTTTGCTGGTTATTTGAAGATAGGAACCTTTTTCGTGGTATTTTACCAGAATCCATATTCCAGTTTGGGCATTCATCTGGCAAAACCAAATTGAAAACAATATTAGAAATTTTATTGACTACTTCTTTGGATTCATGAGTTTTTAGGCTACCAACCAGAGTGCCTAATTTGCATGCCAGAGAATTTAGTTTATTTTTCTGTACTAGTTGATTAATTCGGTGAGTAGATGATTTCCAACCTCTGGAGCCTGTCTGTCTTTTCATAGTTTTGGTTTCGTTGCGAATGGGCAAACTATGACTTTTAAGCCTGGAGAGTGGTTTGTTTCTTCCTCTCCTGTCAGGCTGATGCTTTATTCCTATTTCCTTGGACAGAACATGGATCACTCCTATTAAGAGATCCTGAAAGAGATCATCGAAGTCAGCCACAGCTACTCTTGGGCAGTAAATATATTTTGTTTTCACAGAAACCATTTCTTGTGTAATGTCTACCTTTAAAATGTCGCTATTAAAAAGGATTCGAATAATGATTTCAGAAATGCTTAAAGCAAGTCGTCTGATAGAAACTGACCGACTTACAAATACTTGTGAATGAATTAAAATAAACTTGCTAAAAGCTGCATCTTGGTTTTCCAGTGATTTCTGTTTTGTTCCAGCATCTTCAGTACAATCACAAATGCTTGACATTATATAGGAAATAACCAATTCAGTGAGATGTTCACAAAATTGATAAAGTGAAGTATCATAGTTAATGCTTCTTAGAGGCTGTTTTGATTTATATTTTTTCCTTAATGGTGTGGAAACAAATACTTTTTCATCAAGAGGACCTTAAAACAGAAAACATTACTATTTTTAACATGCATTAAGGGAAAATGTTGAGCATTCAAAATACTAGCAATATTTTATACATGAATTTTACCTAACTCAAGAAATAGAAAAACCTAGTCAAGAAATTTCGGAACTGAGTTGTCTTCAAATCTCTATTTCCCACCTGTGGAACCTTACTTCGGCCATGAAGTTAAGAATATAGCCTAATAGAATTCAGATCTCTAACTGCTGGTTTCTTCCTTGTATAAGGAATTAAAAGCTGGAAATCCTAGGGCAGAGAAATGATTTTTAGCTTTGGTTGCAAAGCCCTAGAGTGATTCCAGTGATGACTACAGACCTCATATAATTCTTGAAAATATTTTCAGCTGTTTATCTAATTATCTAGTTTGGGACCATATAGTATACAGTAAATTGAACTGGATGAAACTACTGATGTTTGACAGTTTTTGACACACAAAATGGTTATTTCATATGGTTCAACCCAATATATGCATGTAAGCATTCATAGAAAGGGAGTGCAGATATCCTATTTGTAAACATGGGTTTGGAGTACTGTACTTAAAAAGAACTTAAGTCAGAACACTGGAATATGAACAGAACAAGAAATTTAATGCCATTGTTCTTATAAACTCTATCATCAATAACTGCAAAGACTTTAACTGTATATCTCAAAAAGAAGTTGGATCATTACAGTCAACTATGTATGAAGTCTGACTATACTTTAAGAAGTCATTTTTTTAAAAAGCACATGAAAAAGAAAACCCTCTTTGAACTTCAATTTGGGAATTGCCTTTAGAGCAGTTGTATGTCCCAAGCTGTCCCAAGCAAGACAACTGGTTTCATCATGTCATAGTCATAACTCATGCCCACCCAAAATATCTCACTTTAAATTATGCCCATTTAATTTCATCTGTTGATAGCAAAAACTGAACAGTACTCCTTCAAATAACAATTAGGTAAATGTGCTCAACATTTTTTTCTTTTAGCATACTGACCAGTTTAAAAGCACATAGTTAATCAGCCACCCCAAATCCAAGGCTATTTTCAGAGAAGTAATGAATACAGCTTCTTGGATGTGAGAGTGCCAAAACTCATTGACTTTTTTTCTCTAAAATGATGCCAACTTTTTATAAGTCATCCCTCACTCACCTCTGGTTTCAAAGTTCTTGAAATGTGTGACCACAGCTGTAGTAACATATCTTGCTACTAGGTGGATTTCATGTGGTCCCAGTTCCTGATCTGCAAAAGCAGTGACTTCAGCCTCTTCAGGAGGTTCTGGTTTCTCTAACTTTGGGTACTTATCTTTCCACTTTTCCAGTAAAGTGAAATCTTTTCCACTTGCTGCAAGGCTTTGGTTTTCTTCTTTGGTTTTAGAGCTGATTCTTTTTTCCCATATTTTAAGCAAACTTTTCTCATCCTTTTGTTCTTCAGACATCACAGACAAAGGCCCTTCCTTTGATACAAAAAATGGCTTCATTGTTTCTATACTTTCATTAGTATATGGGGTTTGGCTTGGAAGGCCATAACTCAACAGCATGGTATTGACAATATTTTCTGCAGCTATACCTATTTTGAGTGGAGAAACGGTTGTCTGTATTTGGTTTGGCTTAATAACTGGCTTGGGGAGCTCATAGTGAAGAACTTTTGGATTTTCACCTTCAGAGTCGCCGGATTTCTGAAGTGGTTTTTGTAATGGGAGAGAGCGGTTTCCTTTCACGGCTTGATCAAAATGGCTAAGGCCTTGGGCTTCACTTCTAGAATATAACAGTTTAAGTTCTGATTCGAGCCCTTCCAATGGCTCTGTGGTTTTAAGTGTATCTCCTGCAGAGTATTTGACATATGAAGGTAGATTTGATGAAGCCTTCTCCTTTACTTTACTATCTTCCTCTGAATAAAAAAATAAGCCAGGGATTTGTGGAAGATCATCCCTGCAGCTAACTCCCTTTGACTTTGAAGTGAACATTCCCGTCCCAGTTGCAAATCTGGGCCAATTGGCAGTGCAGGCATTTTCAGCTAGTTGGAGCAGATTTTCCTTTGGATGGCTTTTGATCATCGACTCATAGAAATGAGTACACTGGTCCATCAGTGTGCTGATAATCTGACTTGCCACAATGTTTTTTTCAAATATGCTTGTTGAAGATGGTTCCACTTGGCATTTTCCTTTGTCTAACTTGTTCTTAAGTATACCAAGCATGTAACTGACAGTATTAGCAGCGTAAGTAAGCAGTTCTGAATGGAACGAGTGAAGCTGTCGAAGGGTATTGTGCATGTTCTCCTGGGAAATCATACTACTTGATTTAGATCCATTAGGAAACTTACTCAGTGGTTGTAGCTTGGGCAATATTGTTTTCATGAATGGTTTCTGTTGGACAGCAAAAAAGTTTTCAATAGGTATTTTCACAATTTCAGAAAAAGCGTATGTAGAGATATGTTTAAATTGTAGGTCTACAAATGATTCTAAGGTGTTCAGAACCCCTTCCACGATCTCTTGAGCAATTTGGTGGCTAGAGCCCCCGTGTATTTTGTCTTTCAGCTTTGCGTTATAGATTGGTACATTGTTGAGGTTGTTTGTTCTTAAGGAGCCACATTGACTTCTAGCAGTAGTTTCTTTCTTGCTTTCTAGCATTTCTTTACCATCTGTTAAGAACTTCTGAGTCATGAAGTACACCTCTAATTTTTCTAATAGCTTTTTAACAATTTCCTGACCAAATATATTAATTTGTGCTTGGGAACCCTCAGCTCCAGAAGCAGCGCTTTTAAAGTTATGGTACCTGCTTTCACAAGCCTCAAGAGGTGACAAATTTAAAAGTGAAACACATTGTTCTAATTCCTTTGTTTTCATTGAAATTTCATTCAAAACAGTCTCAGCTATCATCAATAGCTTATATTTTTCATTTTCCATGTCATTTGATTCCATTTGCCATTTATCAAACATTTGACTAAAAATACCTTCTTTAGGGAAGATTTTCTCTCGCTGGGAAGAAACATTCTCCAAAGAGAAACGAACTTCTGGATTTGCAAGAGAGATTGTCTTAAAATTCCTCTGTGAAAGTTTGAGATCATGTGAGTATGAGCCTTTTATCTGGTCGGCCAAATTGTCATTCTTTGTAGCATATAATCCTTGCAAAACTGCATTAACTATTTTACTTGCTGTCATGATTTGATCAGAAGTTAAAGTGTTTACATTTACCATTAGTCTATTTTGCCTCACCTTTTGAAATTCATTCACAATTGTTTCCAGAATATTGCTTACTATATCCTTGGCATACATTTTTAGTTCTGCAGTGGGGAGTTTTATTCTCACCAAGGAGTTTTTGGCATCCCCTGTGGATAGCAGGTATGGCAGACCAATGGCAGTACTGGACTGACTGCCTCTGAAAGTCTTCTCTCTAGGACTTAACTTGGACGTACTTTTGGCTTTAGCACCACTAGGTCCTAGCTGTGATTTTGTTCCGAATTTAGGCAAAGAGATAACTTTTGATTTTGCTTTGAAGTCTGTTTTAAAACTTACATTAGGGCTGCCTTTGGAACTAGCATTAAAACTGCGTGGCCTCAGAGACTGCATTCCATCAGACTGATCTTTCAGGGACAAATTCTCTTCTAGATTCAGCAAAACAAAATTCGTAATATTTTGGAGAACCTTTTGGACCAATTCTTCGCCCACTCGCAATGGAGAAAATTGCAGTAAGGTGTTTTCCAATGAAGTGACACTGATACTGCCTGTGTAAGGATAAGCTCGCAGTATCACAGGTTCAGGGGGGACACTTTGTTCTGCTTGTTTTGATTCCCGAAAGCTTGATGGGGTCACCAGTAATTCATCACGGCCAGATGCTTCCAATTCTCCCCTGCTCTCATTCTTTTCATATAAGGATGTCATGACTATTGAGAACATTTTTCTGAAAACACTTTCAACTATGTCATTTGCAACACTGCTTATATGTGACTGCAAGGTTTTTTTCCAGGCTGCTGCTGTTTTCATTTTAGAATCAGATGTAGAGTGGGGGGGTTCATTAAATGGAGGCCAGTGGTCTATGTCTTCCATTACCCTCTGATATACCTTCTTTAAAATTTCCTTAACCGCCCTTAACAAGGCAGTTGTTTTTTCCTGTCTAAAGTCTCCATTTCTAAATATTTCTTCCAAAACCCTTCTCAGATTTTCTGCTTCTGATATAATTTGGTTTTGATATGAGTATTTTGAAAAAAGAGACAGTTCAGAGTTGTCTTCCATCTTCCTTTGACCCGGCAATATTTCATTTTGTACAGCTAGTTGTGTAAACAGGCTGGGATTCTGCTGTGAGTAAAACCTACTTGCCTTCAAAGATATTTTATCATGTAAACTCTTTAAGATGTTGTTGACAGTTTCACTCACAATTATGTTTTCTTGGAATGAAGTATTGTTTGGATACGAATACATTTTTTGGATTTCTGAATCTATGTCATTTTTTATAAGCATCAAAATGGTATTGGCAATTATGTCAGCATATTCCCTAAGACTAGCTTGTGATATATTAATTGCAGGTCCATGTTTTCCCCTGTAATTAGCAAATGTGTAATCTGTGACCTCTTGACTGAGAACGGTTCTAACTGTTGAGATTTCTAGGATATTCACATCCGATGGCATTTGGTTTGCTTCAAGAAATACACTGTTGTTTTGTTTACAACTTGTAAATTCTGGGCCAACATATGTTTTTTCCGTAGTCTTAGTATCAAGAGTAAGTATCAAATCTCTTCTTTCTGTGGCAAAAGATTTTAATCTATTCAAAATGGCTTTAGTAATAAAGTGAACATTTTCCTCACATGGGTTGGAAGCAGAGTTCTTGGCATCTTGTTTTTTAAGTACAGTTGTCCGATTATCATCAGAATAAACTGATTTCAGCTGTACATCTCTTCCCTTTCTTGCAAATGTAGTTATCTCCTTTTTCCCCTCAGTCATTGAGTCTGTAATAGGAGATGGTTGATGCTCTGCTTTGGGAAATGCATCAGAAAATGTCAGGGGCAATTTCAGAGAAATAGAATCCTTTGCATTTATGCCAAGCATGATAGCAGAAGTTAGATTTTGAAGAACAATATCCACCATATCATTGGAAATCACTGTGACACACGACTTAGGAACTAAAAGCATTGGGATAGCTTTATGTGCACACTTGGGGTTTGTTTCAGAGTTTGCTTCTAAATGTTTCCCACTTATGTTACACTTGTTAAGAGTGGATGCAGCAAGTAGGAGATTATTCTCGTCTAGTGTTTTCTCACAGATGTCACTTAAGATACCTTTGATGGTATCAAGTATTTGAAATTGAAGTTTTTTTCGATAGTCACTTTTATTGAACAGCTTTTCAACAATAGCTTCTGGCTGACCTGGATCAATTTCTCTGTCAAACAGGTTTTTTTCATATTCGCCTTTAGTAGACAGAATACTTAACACTGTGTTAACAACCTGGCTTGGGCTACTGTTGGAAACCACAATATTATGGATTAAGAATGGACTTTTCATTTCCTTATCTAACTTATGTTTGATTCCTTGTAAAATTTGTCTAGCCACTTCTGTTGCATATGAATTTAATTTACAGGCAGTCAGTTGACATATTGAGGTGGTCTTTCCTGACTTGTTATGATCCACTGAGCAATAGGAAAACTGATCACCAGAATATGAATCTTTGATTGATAGCCATGGTTGGCTGAAAGCAGTCTCATCCTCTTGTAGAGGCAAAGCCATTGGAATTGTGAAATTGATGTGAGGACAAAAGAGAGTTTTTACTTTGGAAGTAGCAAATGTTTCTAAATTTGTTAATACTGACTGTATAATATCTTCAACTACATTCATTTTGGTCATTTTACCACTACTAAATGTGGACTGAAGTGTGCATGGATTTCTGTCCAGGATGGTACACTGAAGAGAGGCCTTTTCTCCACTGGTGTGTTCAGGAAAAGAGATATTTGCTGGACAGGTGATAATGTTAGATCTATTTTCACTTGCATTTCTATCTGTCATGACAGCAGAATAAAGTTTTTGAAGTATGGTTCTAACAACATTATCTGCAACAACGGTTATATCTGCCTCAGACACTAAAGGATCCATTATTTTATCCATAGATTGAATTGATCTGTGAGCAACTGGCATATCACCAGGATGAGGAATGTCACATAAAGGGGACTGGGAGAGAGTAAGCACATTTAATTGATCAATTAAGTCATTCTGAAAAATTTCATTCAAAATCTTTCTTATAATGGGCACAACTGGGGACTTTTCTAGTTCTTTGAGTTCTACAAATTTTTTAAATGTTCTTTCTAGTTCCCATTGCTTAAGAGATTCTGATTTAGTTTCTTCTGGTGGTCTTTCCTCTCCAGCACTTTCTTTCTCTGTATCTGCAGGCTCTTCTAGATAGGACTCTGGGTCAGCCCCTCCTGGAAGAAAATTTCCATAGGTTGGCCTGTATCTGTAATTTTCAATGCCTTGCTCTTCTGGTTCAGTTTCATTAAATATATGAGGAGGCCCTAAAATTAAATCGACTAGATTCTTAAGCATTTCTTTCTCCTGTAGTGGCTTGGTTATGCCTGTTTCCAAATCTGGCAAGCTCACATTTAATTCTGTTTGAATAGCCTTCAAAATAGTACTTGATACTTTCTTTGCATGCATGTATAAAGCAGACTGCAGTTGTTTTTCATGTGTGTTTGTGCAAATGTTGATACTTTCACTTTCCCAGTACCTCTTGTTGCTCTTTTTACTTCCATTGATTATAGTGCCCAGAGTTTCTAAATTTCTTTTGGCAAACCCTTTCAATTTAGCAAAAACCATTTCAAAGATATCAGAAGCCATGACTTCCAGTTTATTTGGGTGCTCTTCTTTTGTGGTTCCTGTTTTGGGGGCAGTTGGCTTTCCCTTATTGTTAGTCACCTCTTGACTACCTGGCTGGATCACACTGAACAACATGCTGGAGATTATGTCAGAGCATATGCCCATTTCCTCAATAAGCAAAGCAAGTGATAGGCTGTCAGTATCAATATAATCTGAGATAGCCTTAAATTCTGAATTTGTGAAAATCTGATCCATCTCAGCACTACATAATTTTCTAATGATATCTTCTAGAATTGTATAAGAAATGAGCTGAATATTAGACTGTAATGCAGTGGTTGTTCTCAAATTCTCATTGATCCACTCTCTATTTTGTTCATCAGATAGGGGAGAACATGGACGGTCTCCTATGAGCTTGTGTAACATGTCATATAAGGTATCCCCAATTCTATCTAACACTTGCAATCTGGTACATTTGTGGACTTCCTCTTGCATATGAGGGTACTGAGAAGGCACAAGTTGTTGTTGATCAATCTCAGCAGTTTCATATGAGATTTTAGACCTTAGCTTATCTGAAGGGAGAACATTGCTTTTATCTGTATTTCCACTTAACAGTTCACAAATGCAAGTTGCTAACGAACTTGTCATAATGTCATTATTTAGCTTTGTGACAACAAAGTCTAATTCCTTTTCATTGTCAGCAAAAACTCCTGTATCTATAAAGTCTTTGGGAGGGCCACACTTCCCAAGATTTAGATTTTTCTTATTGTATTTGAGTTCTTTCTGGATAGCATCCAAAACAATTTTTACCACTTTAGTTGTGTAAGTACTAAGGTGAGATTGAAATGAAGATTTCTTGTCAGGTGCAGGTTTTGAATGATCAGCATGGCTTTCTAGTTTAAAGCAGTTTTGCAATTTTGGACAAATAAATGAGTTCAGCTTCTTAAAAACTGTGTAAGTGATCCTATCATTAATGTGAACTACAGGTTCAGGTGTTGATTCAGTTTCTTCAGTTTCTAACCAGGGATGTTTTGTAGGGTCTATGTCAAGTACAGATAAAAATTTCATCTTCCTGTTACTCTCAAGCCATATTTCTAATGGCTCTTTATTTGGTACGTCAGCATTATCTAGAGAAGTTTGAGGTACTGATGAAGAATGTCTGATAATGTGACTATAAGCTATGTGAAGTATTTTTAATACAGCATCTACAATTTCTTGAGCTACTATTTGGATTTCTGACGCAGAGAACATCTGGTTCATCCGTTCTTGATTGGACAGATCTTGTGGGCTTCCTGATGTAAGAAGTGAAGCTTCCTTATAACCTGAGTGACCAGAGAGCCCAGAAGATAGGTCTTGGAGCATCTGTGCTAAAATACTTGTAATTATATCTTCTGAGGCTTTTTGTATTTGATGCTTTTCATCTTGGCTGAAAATCAAAAGGTCTTTATTCAAACATGGCTTGTCCTTAAAAAGGTCCTTATTATTAAAAGCTGGAAGGTCAGTCTTTAATCCCCAATCATGAAATGCTACTTCGTCTTGATAAGCAGGCTTTGTAGATAAGTTCATATTTCTTTTGTACTTTAAATCAGCATTTTCCCTTGTTAACCAGTGATCAGGAGCCTGTTCTTGTAATTTTGCTTTTTCATCTTTGATAGATGAAATCAGTACATTTTCCACAATCTTGTCTATTTCTTTATTTTCGTCTTCAGAATAAAGGACCATGCCAGGAACATTAATGGGTGGAAAGAGGCATCCATGTCTAGGATCATTAGCTACGCTGGTGCTGGTGAGTCTGTGCTCTTCTTCAGTGCCAGAAGGACTACTCAGTCTTGGGTGTCTTCTCTTTTGGACATCTGTTTTTGCTGGTTTCTGATGTAACTGAGCCAAGACATCATCAAGTAGATGAAGGAGGATCACTGTTTCCTCAGATGCAATGAGTCTCTCGTTATTAAGTTCAATTTGTATATAACTTAGTATAGTGTTGATTGCTTCCTCTATATAACCAACCAGAGAGGATTGGGAAAAAATATTTGACACTAAATTTTTTATGTCTTCTTTGCTAATCAAATTGGCTGCATCAGGTTCAGCACTGGATTTACTTTTGCTGGCTCTTTGAAGGAATGCATATGTTGGATTTTTCCTGTGTTGCTGATAAGCAGGTTCAGTCGTGATTTCAAGATGAGCAAGTTCATTTTGCTTAGAAGATGCAAGAGATGTCAGCTTTTCTAAAATCATATGAACCATATCTTCTGCAATACCACTCATGTTCTCCATAGTATAAGGCGGTGAAGCTTTTGACGTTTTTTCTTCTGGTGAAATGAAATGTTCCCCACTGGCTGTTAAGTCTGATTTAAAGTGAACTGACAAATTTTCTTGTGCAAATACCTCAATACATTTTTTCTCAACTGCAGACTGTAGCTTCTCAAGCACGTTTTCCATAATTTCAGCAGCTGCTGAGGAGATACTGACATTGGAGAGCAAGTCTCCTTTGTCAGTGTCAGTTTGATCAACCAAAGTTTTGGCTGTAACAGAAGCAAGAGTGGGGATGGTCTTGGTTAATTCAGGCATCATTTCATGAAAAATATTTTCTAAAATCAACTCAGATTCCTCTTTTAGGTGATATTTAAAGTTATCAAAAACATTCTTTAACTCCTGCATCTCCTTTACGACTTTTGCTTTTTCATCAGAAGACGGTGGGTGTTCTAAGGCATCTGTTTTAGTGGTAGCATCTTCAGATTTCTTTGTGCCTGTTTCAATCGGTGCAAAAAGGTGACTGTCGGGTTTACAGGTTTTAAGTTTGGGGGATTCAACGGTCTTATTATGTTTAGGTTCAGAGGTTTTAGGTTGTCCTTTCCTGTGATGTGTTTTTACCATAACTGTTCTTTCTTTGTGGGCAGAAGATGGTTTTACGGGTGCCGCTGGTTGCCCTATTGACCTGTCATCTGTGTCCGCACAGGCCTCTGCCTGAAATGTCTCTGCCTGAATACCTGTTTCATATAGAAGCATTTCACTGCATGTGCTACAGCAACTTGCACTATTTGAAGAGAGGGTAGAGTCATCAGGCATCGGGTATATAATATTTTGCAACCTTTCTTCATATTTTGTGATGGCTGGATATAATATACTGGTCACTGCAGCCACAACCCAGGTCATTATATTATGAACTATACTGTTCAGTTCTTCTGAAGTTACCTGGAAAGGAGGTAAGCAGGACACAAGGGAAATCACATATGAATTTACTCTATTGTAGGGACAGGGGCTAACCTTTAATTCCTTGTATCAAACAATGCATAGCTAGAATCCAGCCATGGTGTATAGAGAGAACATAGGAAAGGCCCTACTTAGAATAAGAGATTAATTTCAAATTGGTTTATTCTCTGTGGCTGTGATCTGCTCTTTGAATACGATTCCATTTGATTCAAAATCCCTAGGAACATTGATTTTCAGCATTTATTGCTGAGCATAAATGGCTTCCTGGTTTAAAAAATAGCCAAGAGGGTGTCTAGACTCATAGAAAACAAATACTCGGGCGCCTGGGTGGCTCAGTTGGTTAAGTGACTGCCTTCGGCTCAGGTCATGATCCTGGAGTCCCGGGATCGAGTCCCACATCGGGCTCCCTGCTCAGCGGGGGGTCTGCTTCTCCCTCTGACCCTCCTCCCTCTTGTGCTCTCTGTCTCTCATTCTCTCTCTCAAATAAATAAATAAAATCTTTAAAAAAAAAAAGAAAACAAATGCTCTGGCAAAAAGTAAAACTGTGTTGATGATCCAAGCAATATTTCTTAAAAATACAAACCATGAGAGACTATGGACTCTGAAAAACAAATTGAGGGTTTTAGAGGGGAAGGGGGTGGGGGGATGGGTTAGTCTGGTGATGGGTATTAAAGAGGGCACGTTCTGCATGGAGCACTGGGTGTTATACGCAAACAATGAATCATGGAACACTACATCAATAACTAATGATGTAATGTATGGTGATTAACATAATAAAAAAAATACAAACCAGATTATCTCTGACAAACTATTTCACAAAAAAAATTTGCAGTCAAAACATTTATGTGCCTTCGCAGAGATAGCCTCCTTTTATGTAGGCATCTGTCCAGCTAGCAGGTAAGGGTGAAAAAGTACCACAGCAGAAGGGTCAGCCTGTGGGCTCTGCGGCCCACCGGCTGCTGCCTTCCTTTGTCCATTCACTGTGTTTGTATGTATGCAGATGACCACAGCTACTTGTTAAGGTTTAATGAATGGTCAACAATTAGCAGTCATGATTTAGCAGAAATGAATAGGCTTTGGGTCCAACAAGAGACTATCAGTGCAAACTGTCTTGGAGAGGGAGGCAGAGGATGGTTCATGAAATAAACACATTAATCTCAGTCAAAAAAGCTGAGCTAGAACTGGGATGGACTCAAAGGGCCAGAAGGCTGGGCAGTAGAGGGAAGTTGGGGGTCTCCTTCACTGTGAGCTGAAGTAGAAACCCAGGGACCAGGCCTGAATGACCTTTTCCTCATTGGTTAATTGTACTCACTGTCACAGCTTAGACTGGACCGGGGGCAGATGCAAACTGCAGCTGCAAAACTCTATACTTGTTTATGTACTTCTTATTGCAGATATATTTTGGGAACATAAAAATCCTCCTGCCTATAATAAAATAGTATTTGTTTTTAAGTTATTGTTACCCTCAAGACAGCCAGACCAAGAATGCATACCTTCTGCAGACACTCTTATTTCTCAAAGCTGTGGATACAAGTTGGCAGCAAAGGTGGGATGCCTTGCATTCTGGCTATGCATTGTTTGATATCCTGGCATTTGGGCACCAGATTCCCTAGAATGTGGTTGTTGCCTCCCAGTTACCTCCAGATTTAGCTTCCAGATTGTTCAGGTTTAGGCCAATATTCAATGAAAAGTTAACACTTTGTCAAATATAGCATATCTCTCCTGATCCATTAGAGAAGGTTTGAGAACCACTTCAGATAAAGCCATTTTTTTCCCCACTCCAATTCCCAAATCTTTTAATGCATTTTTATTGTGATTAAATAAACAGAACATAAAATGTACCATTTTACCATTTTAAAGCATACAGTTCAGTGACATTAAGCACGCTCACAATGTTGTGCAAACATCACCACTATCTAGTTCTCTTAATGCATTCTTTGTCACCTTCTGCCCCGACTAGAACATGGCTATTGAGTTTGAAAAACATAGTTTGGGATGACAACATATGGTTGAAAAACACTTCTTTTACATAAACATGTCCTAAATCAAACACTTCTCAGAATAATAGCTAACCATTAATAGGTAAGTTACTTACCTTCTTGGTCTAAATTGGTCCAAATCTGTTCTAATACATATGAGCTAAGAATTTCAATATATATTATTTCCTTAATACCACAGAAAATGTACAGAAGACGTACATTATTATTCTTAAGGTAGCTGAGAAGAGGCATTTTCAACCTTGATATATAAAACAGGGGCATTCCTACCCCGATGTTTATAGCAGCAATGTCCACAATAGCCAAACTGTGGAAAGAGCCAAGATGTCCCTCGAAAGATGAATGGATAAAGAAGATGTGGTATATATACACACACACATACAATGGAATATTATGCAGCCATCAAAAGGAATGAGATCTCGCCATTTGCAACGACGTGGATGGAACTGGAGGGTATTATGCTGAGCGAAATAAGTCAAACAGAGAAAGACATGTATCATATGATCTCACTGATATGAGGAATTCTTAATCTCAGGAAACAAACTGAGGGTTGCTGGAGTGAGGGGTGGGGTGGGAGGAATGGGGTGACTGGGTGATAGACATTGGGGAGGGTATGTGCTCTGGTAAGCGCTGTGAATTGTGCAAGTCTGTTGAATCTCAGATCTGTACCTCTGAAACAAATAATGCAATATATGTTAAGGAAAAAAAAAAGAAGATAGCAGGAGGGGAAGAATGAAGGGGGGGAATCGGAGGGGGAGACGAACCATGAGAGACGATGGACTCTGAGAAACAAACTGAGGGTTCTAGAGGGGAGGGGGGTGGGGGGATGGGTTAGCCTGGTGATGGGTATTAAAGAGGGCACGTTCTGCATGGAGCACTGGGTGTTATACGCAAACAATGAATCATGGAACACTACATCAAAAACTAATGATGTAATGTATGGTGATTAACATAACAATAAAAATAAAAAAAACCACGGGCATTCCTAAAGTTTTTAATGAAATGAAATGTGATAAATAGAATCTGATTTTCAGCTTATTTTCACTATACATTAAACCAAGAAATATCCTTTGGGTGCCAGTATGTCTAGGTCTTTGTGTTTGTTGCATGTTCTCTGAGTTGAGTGGGTGTAGATGTGAAAGAGTGTGTGTGTGCACTACTCCCCTGAACCCCTCTCATGTTCATGATTCCTCTGTCTAGCCCCAGAGTTGGGGCTCATCAAATTCACCCTCATCTTTGCCTGGTCCAAGTTGCAGTTCTCAGGTGACCAGGTCCCTTCTTTTGATGGAGTACCATCCTAAGATTTTTCTTACTCCCGGGAAAATTAGGAGACAGATCTAGGCATCCTGGCTCACATGCCCAAGGGACAGGATGCTCAGCCCTAAGCCAGATCTCAATGGTCTGCAAAGGCATTTCCCTTAATGGTTTCCCATTATGGAGCCGGTTTGTGGTATTTGATGCTTTTCTCATGATAACTAAACCTCCTAATGCTCCCTTAATCTAGCCTCCTGAGCCCCCTGCCCAAAGGGCCAATAACAGTAACTTTGGACCCCTGCAAAACTCAAGATTAACTGAGAGTGAAAGTCAAGAAGAGAAGAAGGCGAAGAGGGAAACTGACTAATGTCAGCAGATGATTCTGCTCATTGTCTGATTCACAGACTTTTCTCTAATTTCATATTACAAAATATCCTTAACATGTTGCTTTATCAGTGAATTTCATCATACATACTTTTTCTTGACAGCAATTTTGATATTGTTGTTGTCTGAAAAGTAAAGAGATTAATTTTATTACTTCTGATCAGTAATTTATGTAACTCCCCCCTCCCCCAATTCCTAAGCATTGAATCAGGTTATATCCTTTGTGCTTGGGAGATTTTTTTTCTCCCTAGCAATTCACAAAAAAGAATAGGCTTTATTTTTTGTCTAATTCCCTTATTTAGCCTCCTACTTAGATATTGGCCTGTGGGTACAGGACATGCTCCATTACTCACAGGAGTAGAGTGATAGCTGAATAAACAGTAGAATAGTAAACAGCTGCTGCATAAACTAACATCTGTCTGATATTACTATTCATGAACCACTTAGCCATGTTTGTTTCGTAGTGAGTTGGGAAGAGCATGGGGCTGGGGAGAGAGGGGGTGGGCTAGTCCTTTCTGCCTGCTCTGCTTGATCAGAGCTTCCTGATAACTCACTTTCTGCCCACCTCCTCAAAACTCCTAGTCTCCTCCCCTCACCCTACAGTAGGAAAAGATCCATGGATGATTCTTGATAACGATGGATTAAAATAATGGGTTTCTGATCATATGCAATACCAAATTAGATGTAGCCCTTTTCTAGGTATTATAGTATTCTGTTCTATGATTTTGTTTCGTCTTATTTTGTTTTATTTTATTTTTTTAAAGGTTTCATTTATTTATTTGGCAGAGAGAGAGAGAACAAGCAGGAAGCATAAGCGGGGGAGCGGAAAGCAGAGGGAGAGGCAGGCTCCCCCCTGAGCAAGGAGCCTGATGCGGGATTCAATCTCAGGATCCTGGAATCGGGACCTGAGCTGAAGGCAGACTGAGCCACCCAGGCGTTCCTTTTTCTCTTTTTTAAAAGTTTTTATTTTAATCACCCAGTGCTTTTCACGACAAGTGCCCTCCTTACTCCCCATCACCTATTTCTCCCATCCTTTTGTTCTGGTAACCATCCTTTAGTTCTGGTAACCATCCTTCTGTTCTCTGTAGTTAAGAGTCTGTTTCTTGTTTGCCTTTCTTTTTTCCCTTTGCTCATTTGTTTTGTTTCTTAAATTCCACATATGAGTGAAATCATATGGTATTTGTCTTCCTCCAACTGATTTATTTCACTTGGCATTATACTCTCTAGCTCCAGCCATGTCATTGCAATCTATTCTCTGTTTTAATCAAAATTATTTATTATCACCTACTACATGGAACCAAAAATATATTTTACTAAATTGTAGCAAGAGAACAACACAATCATGTA